GAGAATACTTAAGGGAGTAGAAAATACCCCATATCCTGTACCTCACAGTGAAATTCTGGATGTTGTCAAATTGAAATTGTTAGGTCACAAAAAGAAGAAGAAGAAATGGGGAAATCCATAAATTGAGACTCCTAGAGATAGTAGGTTAAGAGCAAGTAGAGTAGAGACATGGAAAAGAATTTAAGCCAAGTCTAGACTGGGAGAGAGGACACAGCTCAGTTGGTAGATTGCTTGCCTAGGAAACATGCATTTAGAATGGAGAGAAGAGACATGGAAAAGAATTTAAGCCAAGTCTAGACTGGCAGAGAGGACACAGCTCAGTTGGTAGATTGCTTGCCTAGGAAACATGCATTAAGTCATGTATTTCATACATAACACCACATAAGAGCAGGTGTGGTGGACAGACCTTTAACTCCAGCACTTAGGAAGTAGAGGCAAAAGATCAGAGTTCAAAACCATCCTCCACTACAAGATACTTCAATGCCTGGTGGGCTACAAGAGACCCTGTCTCAAAAAAAAAATCTAAATCAAACAGACATAATAAAATCATTGAGATTTTTAAAAACATAAACACATACACACTTGTGATGAATTAACAGCAGGTTAATTGTTACTGAAAACAAAATGAATTCCTTTAAACACTGTCAGAACTATGCAGAATGCAGCAGTGAGGAACTGGGAATAGTTAATGAACTTGGCATCCGGGACTTGAGGTGCATGGCACTGGTGTCCCTGAAGGAAGGGGAAGGGAAATTCTGGAAGATTCATCTCTAGAAGACCCAGGCTGCAAGGAATGTTACTGGTTTTCAAACAAAAGGAAAGTGCTACTGATTGAAATCTGAATCTACACACAGAAATTACAAGCTCTTAAGGACCCCCAAGTAATGTTCTTATTAAAATCTCTTTAAAAGATACCAACTACTTACAACAAAAATAAAAACAATATACCGTGGAGTTTATAGCATGGATAGCTAACATGTATGACAAGAGCAGGGAGCACAGCTCCACAAAGACAGGAGGTGACGGAGAAGGGACCAGAACCCAAGCCTTTCAAACAATAAGCTCCAAATTGTTTTCCCAATATTTACACTGCCCATTTAACAGTTCCTCTCCAAAAGGATTCCCCGTGGTGATCCAAAGGAACCTGAGTACATTTGTTTCATTTATTGCTGATCCACCTACGAATGTACACTTCTCCAAAAGAGAATGGTATTAGCTGACTTTGCAAAATCCAATCATGCAGTAACCATGGCATCCCTTGATCTAAAATATAACCATTATTCTAGAAAATTCTAGTTGAAGAAATCAGTTGAATGATAAAGAGACCTATGCTTTTTTCCCCCTCTCATCATTTACTTTTCTCCAGGATCATTTTGGGCAATTCAATTATTCAGTAAATATTTATAGAGCCTCTCTATGTCAGGCACTCCACTGTAAATACAGCTTTAACAAGACAGTGCCGTCTCTTCTCTAGAGTCTGGTGTACTTACTCAACTCCTGTCAGTAATTGCTCCCCAAAAGATTCAAAGCTTGGCTTTAGCTCTTTGGCTTGTGGCTTCTAGTATCCTCTTAGTTGCTCTCCCTGAGAGAGTGGCTGGTCTAACATCTATCTGTCTTTTCCCTCTGATTTTGTTCATGGTGATCTTTTGCCAGACTCTGAGAAAAGAAGGAAACAAGGTGTCTAAGCCAATTATGATAATCTCATTCCCGAATATTGCAACTGTTGCTGCAGCCAAGATGGTCACATGACTTAGTCTGGGGCAATGTGACCTAAGA